AAGTGTGGTCATCCAGCCACACCCACCTTTTGCTTCTTATTCTGTTGACCTTGTTTGTTGTCAAAACCCAGGGCCTTTTTTGTAGCAGGAACTCCTTTGCATGTTAGGCCACACACCCCTAATGTAGCCAATCCCAATGAGTTTCTGCTGTTGCGTGTGGCCTGTTATGCTAATGAGTTCCTGCTGGGCGTGGCCAACTCGGGAGCCAGCCGGAACTCCGTTCCTGTGCGTTCGTGCCCCAAAATAGCCCTGCCCAGAACTACAAGTGACCCCCAGACTACAGAGATCAGCCCCCCCTGGAGAAAATGGCACCTTCAGAGGATGGACTCTATGGGAAACACTTCCCTGTTGAACTCACCTTCTCCAAATCCTTCCCTCCCCAGTCTCTGCCCCGGAATCTCCAGGAATTTCCCAAGTTGGAGCTGACGGCCCTATTTCACCGTAACATTTACAACGAACTGTCAAAGGTGTATCTTTCTCTAATTCACTACTACCTGGCTTTTCCCTCCCCCATATAATCAAGGTCACCCAGTGAGCGGCATGGCTGAGTGCTGAGACCCAGTTTGGGGTGGTGGTTAAGAGCATGGACTCTAATCTGGGAGAACTGGGCTTGATTCCCCACTCCTCCACATGCAGCTGCTGGTGTGTCCTTGGGCCAGTCACAGTTCCCTCAGAGCTGTTCTCTCAAGAGCAGTCCTCAAGAGAGCTCCCTCAGCCCCATCTACCTCACAGGGTGTCTGTTGTGGGGAGGGGGAAGGGAAAGGAGATTGTAAGCTGCACTGAGACTCCTTCGGGTAGTGAAGGGCGGGATATAAATCCAATCTCTTATTATTATTATTCATTTTATCTGAGCAGCCAGCTAAAATTTTGTGTGCCAGTGCCCCCTAGCGCAGCTTAGAGGGAATACTGGAGGCAACTGTTCCTGATTTGGATCATTCCCCCTCCCCCCCATGTATCTTTATGCTCACAGAAAGGAAAAGGAGATCTGGATACAGCAGTCGCCCTAGAAGGTTACCGCATCAGCCTGCTCTGTACTGTGGAAAGCAGACCTGATTCCACACTGACCTGGATGAAAAGAGCTTGAACAGCAGTTAGCCGGACAACGAACACATGTTTCTGGTACGGACCAGAGGATGCTGGGAAGTCTCCGTGCTGGGCAGAGATTCCCCATGGTTTGGCAGAGAAGAACCTCCAGTTGTGCGTAAGGATTGAGGGGCCGGGGGTGGGTGGGGGCTTTTCAAGAGGACCCTCCTGATACCCCACTTTTCTCCCCAGTGGGGACCCAAAGCGGCTTACATCATTCCTGTAATGTATTCTAATTGACTTGAATGCATGTACTGAATCATTCCATTGCCATCTCATGTTAAGCTTCGTCCTGGGCTAGGATCCAATAGGAACACTAGCCCAGGAAGCAGTATCCAATCATCATGAAGAAGCTCCCTGAGCGGGAACGTTCGTGATTGGCCTTTATAGGTTCAACCTTATTGGTTGTGAAATGTACAGTAGGCGTGGCTATATTAGCCGGGAATGTTTAAATACAGAACAGCAGCTATGTTAAAGCTGACTAGATCGGTTCTGGCTGACTGATGTTGATCCGTGTTGGAAGTGAGTTCGAGTTGAAGAATAAAAGCCGCATTCTTGCTGAATCACTCTCGACTCTTTGTTAAGCTTGCGACTTAACAATTCCCCTCTCCTCCATTTTTATCCTCACAATAGCCCTGTGGTGTAGGTTAGGCTGAGAGTGTGTGACTGGTCCAAGGTCACACAGCGAGCTCCCGTGGCACGAGTGGAGTTTCGAACCTGGGTCTCCCTGATCCCAGCCCCAACGTTTTAACCACTATGCCACACTGGCTTGACTTGAACTAGCAGCGAGTATTTTCACTTAGTTTTTAAAGTACGTAATACATACCCTTTTTTGCCACACAATCATGCATGTCACTGTTGAGGTCTCTGGAAAAATGCGAGGCTGGGACGGGATTGCAGAGTGTGGCAACAGAATGTGTAGGGCAGTAGCCTCAGAAATCAAGAAATGGCTTCAGACGTTCAAGGACTTTCTTAAAAGGGCAGATCATGAAGCTCAGCTGTGTCTCTCTTTGGCCACACGAGGGCGTATATGTGCAAACTTGAAACAGAAGAGTCTTATGCTGCTTTCTTACAGCCCCAAAGGGCTCAAAAAGCTTTGGTGGAAGCCTGATCTTTTCATCTTTGCCCCGTCCACATTTTTTTCTTTACAGCAGAAGGTATACCCTGAGAGGGGAGCTAAGAGCTAGTGTGGTGTAGAAGGTGGAGGAGGAAGAGAAGATTAGATTTATACCCTGCCCTTCACTACCCAAAGGACTCTCAGAGCGGCTTACGATCTCCTTTCCCTTCCCCTCCCCACAGCAGACATCCTGTGATGTAGGCGGGGCTGAGAGAACTGCCCTTGAGAGAACAGCTCTGAAAGAACTTGTGACTGACCCAGTGTCACACCAGCAGCTGCATGGGGAGGAGTGGGGAATCAAACCCAGTTGTGCCAGATTAGAAACTGTGCTCCTAACCACTACAGCAAACTGGCTCTTGGTTAGTTAGTATGTTGGAGAATGAACAAGTAGACCTGAGTTCAAATCCCCACTCAGCTGCCATACCCACATCACTGAGAGCCAGTTTGGTCTAGTGGTTAAGTGCTCTGACTCTATGCCATGTTTTCTGGGTTCCAAGGGTCTGGAAAGTGGTTCCATAGCCAATTACATGGTTGCCAACTATGGGTTGGGAAATACCTGTAGATTTGAGGAGTAGAGCCTGGGGAGAGCAGGGTTTGGAGTGCGGAGGGACTTCAGCAGGGTATAATGCCATAGAGTCCACTGGCCAAAGCAGCCATTGTCTCTAGGAGAACTGATCACCAGGCCCCACAGGGAGATTGGCAACTCCAGTGACCGTTTAAGGGAAGATTGGGATATATATTTTACCTCAGGACACATTCAGTGACTCCCAACAGCAACAGCAAACTGTTTAGAATGTTAGAGGCAAAGGCCAATGAGGCCGCATATGCAAATGACCTCTGTGAGGGTGGGGGGGGGGGGGGAGAGGAACAGCAAACTGTTTAGAATGTTGGAGGCGGGACTCAGGCAATGCAGCCTGTGGATAGGAACACCTTCTGAGTGACAGATCAGGGAGTCAACTGATTTGGGAGCGCATGGAATCTTCAGCAAAGTGCCACCCGAAAACACAATTATATATAAGGAGAGATACTGAGGACTGCTTAGTCCGATGGCTTTCTATTTAAAGGCTGCATTCAAGACCTGTGTTTTTACGTTTCTGTTTCAAGTGCACTTTGTAATAATAAATTGATTTATTTTGTTTAATTCCTTCTTTTATTGTTTTCGCTGGACCTTATTGGCACCTAATCCCCCCTTCTCTGCCACCTCATGTTCATTGCTATCAGTGTTTGGGTGGGCAAAATGCCTCCTAAACTCTAGCTCTATTTTTGTGATTTCTGCACGTGTGTGGATATCACTATCCACTTTGCAGGGTATGTGCATCACCCCTAAATTAGAGGGCTTTCTTTTTACATTTTTTTAAAAAATCTGATTTTTCTACAAATCTGGGCTCTCCCCCCATGGTCGCCCAGTCATTTTTAAACCCCCTTTGCTTGTCACCTCCTTCAACAGCTGTGGCTGACTTTTGTTTTGCGGTTGGCTGTTCAGGGACTGGACACCTAGAGCCTGAATGAATTAAAGGGGCTTATCTAGGGTAAACTGACAATAGATCCCACAAAGCCCCTCAGAAACTTTCCCCTGTCAGAATCCCAAGTTCCCACAGCTTGACTAGCGTTTAATAAAGCGTTGGTTGTTAGTGGTCAGTGAGGCAAAATGTAAATACTGAGGCAGTCGAGTAGTTCTCAGAAATTACCCAATGGATCTGGGTGGGGCAGCACCAGTTTCTGAGGTGATTTGTATTTCCTCTCTCCACTTCTCCTTTGGACTCTACAGACACCTTTTGTAACAAAGCATCAGTAAGTTTATTTTCCCCTCTGCAGAAGGTTTAAAGGGCTTATCTTGGTTGGCAAGTAAGATGGTTTAAAATTTTATCTCTTTTCACAGCTAAGCTGGATCACAGATCTCTTAAGAATCATTAGAGTGTGCTAGGGTTGCCAGGCATGAACTGGCAACCAGATGGAGACTGCGGTTCCAGCAGTGATGCCATGACGTCAATTCTGAGGAACTCCTGGAAGTGATGTTGTGCCTCTCTGGGAATTGTCAGAAACTCTATGGTAAATCTATAGAGTTCTTGTCTGTTTCCTGAGAGGACTGGCATCACTTCTGGGGGAAACCTGGAGTGACATGGCATCACCCGATTTTTGGGGGAATTATTTTTCTCCTGCTGGGGGCACAGGATCCCTTATCCCCAGTGAAGGCTTGGCAGCCATACGTGTCTCACACATCCACAAGGCTACAGAATTGAGAGGCTATTTCCGCTGATGACAGAGGTGGATTGATTTTATTTGGAAAGGCTCAATAAACCCTGGGATGCCAAGTCTCTTCATTACTGCCTTTGCCACATTGACATAAAGACAGAGGACGTCACATATTCAAACCCCCATACTTCCCCACTCCAGTTAACCTCAGACTCAGGAGATAAAGTTGACCACATTTCTCCTCCTCTAAGTCCGTTCCTCCCACCTCTCACATAGGATCCACCACTCTCATTGGCTGGAATCTCTAGCAGGTTGCATACACACCCTGGGATCAGGGATTGGCAGTGGCACATGGGGGGGAGGGGTGTAACTGGACACCATCCATCACCCCTCCCCCAGTTTTGTAGAACCCTAAGTTGGAACTGGTGCTAATTGTTGTGTTGGTGTGTTTATTTGTGTAGGGGCCCAGCCTTTGGCTGCTAGATCTACAGATAGTGGAGTCTGTACATTCAGCCATGTAGCATCTTCTGAGTTCAGATAATCTTTTAAGAGTCAGGAAAGCAACCTGTAGGGTATAACACTCTGTGTGCGAACCATGGCTGCTTCCTCAGGGGAATGGCAGATCATTGCACTGAGTCATCGTCAGCTTTGTCCGGCTATATGTCCGGTGGCACTCCTCATTGGCATTGCCCATGGGGATGACAGGAATATCCATAAAGCCCCTCTTAAGCAAAGCAAAAATGGATGTCTTGGAAACCTGTTGGAATTTCTCCCCAACCAAGAGATAGAGAATGGGGGTGAAACAGAAATTGAAGCCATCTTCAATGAGAGTAATTATCTTCAGTGTCAGAAGTATTCTCGTAGGCAAGTACGTAATAAGTAGCAAAGCTTGAGATGGTAAGCGAGCCAAAAGACAAAGAAGGACATCACAGCAGCTACCGGGATTTGGAAAGGCTTTCTGGTCCTGACCAGCTTTCTCTTCTTGATCTCCTGACCCATCCCATAATAACAGCCTGTAATGATGCAGAACGGAAACAGGAACCGGACCGCCACGAAAACCAGATGCACGTGCTGCCTCGTGGCTCATGTTTCCTCCTCGTTCCAGTCACTGGAAAAATCGTAATTGTTGTCATGCTTGACCTTTCCCTTTTTCCTCTCGAGTCACCCGGAAAGCCAGGTAGGCAGCGCCAAGGATGACGGAAACAGGCCACACCCCTGTGAACAGTCTCCGTGCCCAGGGAACAGTGTGATGGTGGTGAGACCAGACAGGGTGGCAGATGAGGAAGAAATGGTCCAGGGTAGGGATGTGCATTCGGTTCATCCGAACCAAATGCACCCCCCAAAATGGCCCATTCTGACCCCTTTCGGGCTGCTGCAGGCCGATTCAGATTCTCTGATCTAAATCAGCTCGCCGCCCGAATTTCGGCAGCAATTCGGCCCCATTATATCCTATGGGCCATTGAAGTCAATGGCGAAAACATAGGGTATATTCTGGGGGCTGGAGGGGGTTTGAGGGAGAGGCTCCAAACTCGCAGGGTAGCTGCTGGAGCCTCTCCACAAGATACCAACCAAGTTCGAAGAACATTGGACCAGGGGGTCCAATTATACGGGCCCCCAAACAGGTTGCCCCTATCCCCTCCATTGTTCTCTATGGTGGGAAAAACGTAACTCTTTTTGGAGCTCCCAAAAGCAGGGGAACCCCCACTAGGACCTGGGGGCTGGTGAGTGGTGACCCTATGCCCAAGTGCTTAACATTCTCCCAATTTAGACTGGTTCCAAACTGTTTCTCTGCCCCTTTCCACTATTTGGGGTGGAGGGGGACTGAGGACTGGGGAAAAATTTCTGCTGATTGAATAGCAAAAGCCATGCCATATCTTTCATTAAGACCCCACCTCCAAACACACACACACAGAGACACACACGCACACAGAGTGGATGCTTTCAAGTTTTTCAGAATTCTTTGTCAAGCTGGATGCAAAAATAAGAGGGGCATGACTCAGGCTATGATCTTAAAGCTTCAACTCATAAATACCCTCTGTGGAATGCCACACAGGTATGCAGATTTAAGATGGCACTGAGGTCAAGCTGCACTCTTGGCCTTTTGGGAAGAAAATGCAACAAAAAAAATACAACATCCAACAATGCACGAAACCCAGCCATCGATCCAACAATTTTCTCATTCTTTTTTGGGGTTCTTTTTACTCCAGTCGGAGGCATTCCTTTGTCAGCTAAATTCACAATGCGGCTGCAGTCTCTGCTTAGTAGAAACGTTTTACATTAAAATGGCTGACAGTAGGGAACAGTTACACCTTTTATCTTATGCAAGAAATAGTTGTTCAAAAGGTTCTCTCCGCCCTGTCTTAATCCTTCCATCGCTCTGAGTGTCCATCCTTCATAGGCCTTTCTTCCTGGCCCCGTACCAAATTTGACAGCTCTTTTATGTCTTCTGTGAAAATACAAGGCAGTTTCCTTGGGAGTTAAAGCTTTCCCCCTTCCCACACAATTTTTAATGGCTCTTATGCAAAGGTATGCAGCTTTTTCAGGCCCGCAGCCTGCGTGGGGCCCACGGGGCCTGGCCTTCCCCGCTGGTTTTGCGAGCCCCCTCCCCTGCTCCCCCCTCCCCCTCCCAAATCAGCGCTGCCGCCGCCTCCTTCTCTGGACCTGACTGTCAGGGTCCTGGCTCCGGCCACAGCCCTTCCTGCCTTGGCGGCGGCCCACCTGTCACTTCCCGCCCCCAGCAGCAGGCCCGCCTCCCCGCCCCCCCGAAAGCGGGGACTGACCGGCCGGATGATGGAACTCTCCGCAGCCGCAGCCCAAGAGGGGAGGAGAGGCGAGGCGACCCCGGCAGCAACAGGCAGTGCCTCCGCCCGCGCGCCTCCGAGACGCAACGCGGGTGGCCCTCCTCGCCACGTGTGCGCCGGCCGTGCCGCTC